TCCCCTCCACTTAAACAAAACATTTGAGTCGAAACAGAGCAACCATTCCATTGAACATCAACATCAAAAAGAAAAATTGTCAACATGTTATATACGTGTTCAATTTTGCTTAACCCCTTTTTTAGTTTAAAGGAAATGGAAGAGAATGAAGGGAAATATGAAGATATCGTTTTCCTTTCATTTCCTTCTTCTTCTTTTTTTCTTTTTTTTTTCATTTGGTTAGATTAAAATATAAAAAAATTAAAGTAAAATAAGTGAAACCCATTCCATATAATTTTTTGTTTTTTAAATAAAAAAAATTCTCCCCTTCTTTCCTCTCAAACAAATAAGCTACGAAAGGACTTCAACACTTCCATTATTATTCTTAATTAACACCAAAATATATATTCAAATTTACCAAAAATATAAATAATATAGTGTAGTGTATATTAATGGCGACTTCAAAGTTGGTTTTTTAACAGCACTCCCTTAACAATCAATTCAAAACATAGTTACAAAAATATCTCTATTAGTGAATTGACCTAATTTTTAAACCCAAATGTTTTAGTTTAAGTGATCACTATCCATATTTTATATTTCACTACCTCAAGCTTTAGTTTTACCATTAAACAAATGTAAAAGTCAAGTTTATGGTTTAATTTTTAAGATTAGCACTTAAAAAATTAATTTTTTTAAATATATAAAGTGGACGTGAGAAACGTGCTTTTAATATCATTCGAGCAAGCCCAACCATTGTCAATGTTACGAGGATATACAACAATGAATATTACAGATGAACCATGATAATGGCTTTTTTGGAGAAATGGTCTCACCGAGATGCAATAAAGTATTAAAAAGGGAAAAAGAAAAGAAAAACAATGCAATAGGAAAATGATTAATTCCAACTAAAGAAATGAGATTTTAGTTATAAGTAAGTGACCATGGTTAGCTAAAATTGTGGATTTTATAATATAAAGAAGTCTATCAAAGAGCAAGAATTGTACTTTACCAAACAGAGCTAAAATGTCATGCCCAAATACCAATCATGCTTTAGACCAGAGGATTCAACTTAAGCATCCTATTTTTTCATGAGAAATAGAGGTGTTTCGTTAATCAAAAAGAGGTTATATATGAATCTCTATATAAAGATACCTAAAGTCAAGTTAAACATATAATCTATGGCACTAAGTATAGATGAAAATTATGCCTGTAATAAATAAAAACAATTAAATGGAAAGAGTCACTTACATTTAGAGAGCTTTAATGGCATGTATAGTGTGGCAAAAGTAAAAGAAAAGCCCTCCTGCACATTTGAAGCTACTAAACTTTCTCAACTACCACATCAAGGTTTAGGGAGAGTAAATTATTAATCCAACAAACAACATTCCTCATCCATTGAATGCCAAATAAGGATATGCACTAATTTGGAGGAGAGTTAGAGTCTCCTTTAAGAATCACCCAAGCCATGTTCAAATTAACTTAGAAAGTCACCACCATGCTATCGTCCTCTTCAATTTGAAGCAAAACCCAATGAAAACTATTGAGAGAACCTAAACAAAACCCCCACAAAATGGTAGAAACTCCCACAAAGGAAAGAGAATGCTTAGCGCAAGAAAAACTCCCACTTTTATTCTCAAAATGAGAAAAACTTCCAGTTCATCGCTACATCAGCCATGGACTATACCAAATTGAGTTTAATAATTTGCTCACGTAAACTGGGAAATAAGAGTTGATTTGCTATAATAGGATTAGTCAAGGGGTTGATTTGCTTCTATTTTTAGTTGAGGGGTTGATTGGGCAACAATTCAACAAGTATAGGTGTTGATTTGCTCCTTTTGGCATCAATAACTTGAAAATTTTCAATCTCTACTTAGGCCCCATTTGATATAGCGGTTTTGGGGTTGCGGTTAGCGGTTTTACCTAAACTGCTAAATATAAGTGTTTGGTAAATTTATATATTTTGAAACCGCTATAAATAGAGTGTTTGGTAAAATTTTTATTTAGCGGTTTGAGACTAGCGGATAGTGGTTAGAGTTCAAACCGTTAGCGGATTGAAAAAATTAGTTTATGTAACTTTTTGTACCAAACCGTTA